TTTTTAAAAAGTTGACCCCTTTATTTTTTTATTTTTTATTTTTTTTATTTATTTTGAAATGAAATCTTACTCTGTCACCCAGGCTGGAGTGCACTGGTGCCATCTTGGCTCACCACAACCTTCGCCTCCTGGATTCAAACTTTCCTCCCACCTCAGCCTCCCAAGTAGCTAAGATTACAAGCGGGTGCCACCACACCCAGCGAATCTTTTGTATATTTAGAAGAGATGGGGTTTCACCATGTTGGCCAAACTGGTCTCAAACTCCTGACCACAAGTGATCCACCCAACTTGGCCTCCCAAAGTACTGGGATTACAGGCATGAGCCAACGCACCAATCCCTTTATTTTGCAAGTGAGTGACTGAAGTGCAGGGATTAGGGTAATATGGCACGTTTTCCCAGATTTTAACCTAACCAGGAAGACACCAATATGTTAACAATCTTCATCACCATGACTTCAGTTACTTCCCTCAAAGTGTGGGAGCACTAAGCCCCAATACTACCCACATACTCAAACATGAAAGAAGCCGGAAGGCCACAGAAGACCCACGGTAAAACTGCCTATGATCTGTGTGTGTTTGTGTGTCTGTACACAGGACATATTCTCTCTCTAACTGAAGCTGAATGTCACCACTCCGCCACTCCTAAAAAGTGATATATGTGCCGGGTGCGGTGGCTCACGTCTGTAATCCCAGCACTTTGGGAGGCCGAGGCGGGCACATCACCTAAGGTCGGGAGTTCAAGACCAGCCTGACCAACATGGAGAAACCCCATCTCTACTAAAAATACAAAAATGAGCCAGGCGTGGTGGCACATGCCTGTAATCCCAGCTACTTGGGAGGCTGAGGCAGGAGAATTGCTTGAACTGGGGAGGCGGAGGTTGTGGGGAGCCGAGATCGTGCCATTGCACTCCAGCCTGGGCAACAAGAGCAAAACTCCGTCTCAAAAAAAAAAAAAAAAAAAAAAAAGTGACGTATGTAAATTTCTCCGTGTCCCAAAAGAGCACGAGAAATCTCCACAAACCAGTTTGGAAAACAAGACTCTTGGAAAGGCCTGAGTAGAATCACACAAATTAAACTCCTCAACTGCTGAAAAAAGCCAGCTTCCACTGAGGACCAGGACAAAAACTGTGCCATGAGGCAGGCAAGTCCCAGCCTTGGCTTCTGACAGATGTTTGATATGGCCAGAAGCAAACAAAGCCTATGATCTAAACCTATGAACTATGGAATCTCTGGCAGGCCAGTTCACCTCTACTTTCCTCTGGGTGGGATCCCTTCTTGGTGCTTCTGGGATCAGAGATCATCACCACGAAGCAAGAAGCTCCCAATGCATTTTGCAATGCGGTGACACGCCACAAGTGGTCACTTCTTCACAATCAGCCCCCTACCCACATTCTCTTCTGTCTACTTTCCGGTATGCCTTAGACTGAACTCAGTTAAGTATTCCCAAGTCAAAGACAAGATTCTTCTCCTTTATCCCATCTCTAAGGCAAAGGAGTGACGAACGATTTACTTTCTGTCCACAGGATCTCCCTGCCACAGAGCGCGCGCGCACACACACACACACAGGTGTGGAGAAGCCAGCCCACCCCAGGAAAGCCGGAAAAGCGAGTTCTGAAGTCTGTTCTAAGCTTGGGACAGCTCCCGGCAGGGGACAGCTCCCCGCTCTTCCCCTGGCTGAAGGGAGCTCTCGGTCGGGGACAGCTCCCGAGCGAGGCCCAAGCAGGGCCTGCCGCTCCTCCTCCCCCCAGCTCACTCTCACCTCGCATTCTGGTACCGCCACTGCCACCTCCGCCACCGCCGCCAGTGGGGGAATTGGGCCCCGCTGACTGTTTGCGCCATCCCCGCCAGTTCTGGCAGAGGCTCTCGGCCTCGGAGATGAAGGAACAGAGCGAATCCTCCTCAAAACGGTCCGAATCCTCGAATGAGAAGCGCTCTCCGTCCTCCCACTCCGCAAACATCAGCTCCATGGGGCCCGCACCCCCCGGAGCCGGGTCCCCCCCCGCGGATCCGGGGCCTGGGCCGCCGGCCGGGGGTTGAGGGGAGGCCCGGGGCCTGAGGGGCGAGCCGGGGCTGGGGGTGGCCGGGGCGCTCAGGGCGGCCGTGCCGGGCGAGAATCTCAGGCCTGGGAAAGAGACGGAACCGGGCCTCGCCCAACAGCGAGGTGCAAGCGGTGATCTCGGCCAGTCTCCGAGACTTAAGGCCCGGACGAAGCGCTCGGCGGCTCGGGCCTCTAGGCGGCTGCGGAGCCGCCTCCCCCATCAGCTGATCTGGACTTCCGGCCGCGCGGGCCGCCACCACTTCCGCCCTCGCGCGCTCGGGATCCGGATCGGGTACGGGCGGATGTAAGGGACACGTTTATTTAATTGCTGCATTTGCTTTTTTTTCCTCTAGCCCACCCTCATACACTATAAGAGGAGGCCAACCCCCAATGTTATACGAAGCAATTACAGATCCCAGCAATAACTCGGAGTCCATAATGTTCCCAAGGAATAAACAGCCGCTATGCATGTTGGGAATTGTAGGCTGTCAGGAGAGGACAGGAACTATTGGATGGAGTTATTGTCTTAACTCTGGATAGGCCCCAGGGCCGCACTACCTTCTGGGAATCGTAGTCCAGAAGTCTGCAATCCAGCCGACCTTTTTATAGGGTCTAATTGGGGAAACATCAGAAAAGAATGCATTTGATTTCAGGAAATGGTTGTACTGTTTGTCCATACGGCCTTTGGGTCTACTAACTCAACCTTTTTTTGTGCCATGGACCCTTTAGCAGTCTAGGCAGGTTTCTGGAACCCCTTCTCAGATTGTTTACAAATGCACAAAATACCAAGAATTACAAAAGAAACCAGTTGTTTAAATACAATTATTAAACTATTAATAGAACAAATCTGTAACGTAATAATGCTCCTTTATTTACACATTAAATGACAAGATCTAGGAGGCAGTGTAGTAACTATCATAATTTTGAAGCTGGTCATGAGTATAAATGCTTTTTGAGATATTTATAACCAACTGTAACATGATATGAAAATACCGTGATTTCATATAGGTTTTGATAATGTTACTGTGGTTTGTTTTCCATAGCCCTGACTGAAATGCTAAATTTCAGTTGTAGTTAAAAATACAAATTTTCCCCCAAGTTCACAGACGTCTTAAGTGGAGTCTATTGACCTAGGTTAAGAACTCCTAAGGCTGGGCGCGGTGGCTCACGCCTGTAATCCCAGCACTTTGGGAGGCTGAGGTCGCCGGATCACGAGGTCAGGAGATTGAGACCATCCTGGCTACACGGTGAAACCCCGTCTCTACTAAAACTACAAAGAATTAGCCGGGCATGGTGGTGGGCGCCTGTAGTCCCAGCTACTCGGGAGGCTGAAGCAGGAGAATGGTGTGAACCCTGGAGGCGAGCTTGCAGTGATCCGAGATCGCGCCACTGCATTCCAGCCTGGGTGACAGAGCAACAACTCCATCTCAAAAAAAAAACAAAAACAAACTCCTAAGCCTAGTCCAAAGTGCACAGGCACTGAGCTTCTTCCTATAGCTAAAAGGCTCATCCTGTAGAACTGGGCACTTGCCCAGGGCTCTATGCAGGAGATATGAAGAATGTGGGAAGAGACAACTGTCAGTGGTTCAGGGAGGCAAGACCCCTTCTTACCTTAATAATTATCCCACTGCTGCATTAAAAGCACCACTGATGTTTGTCCCACATTTAATGCTGTAAAGTACATTAAAAAGCTAACTCAATTATGCCTGAAAGGGCAGAGTATACAAAAAATGCTATGCAGTTTTTCCTAATATCAGGGGAATCACAACAGTGAATGCCTTCAGCAACTAGGCAGATAACTTGAGAGAAGTAAACAGGTAATCACTTTGGGAGGCCGAGGCGGGCGGATCACAAGGTCAGGAGATCGAGACCACGGTGAAACCCCGTCTCTACTAAAAATACAAAAAGTTAGCCGGGCGTGGTTGCAGGCGCCTGTAGTCCCAGCTACTCGGGAGGCTGAGGCAGGAGAATGGCGTGAACCCGGGAGGTGCAGCTTGCAGTGAGCCAATCGAGCCACTGCCCTCCAGCCAGGGGGACAGAGCGAGACTCCCTCCATAAAAAAAAAAAAAAAAAAAAAAAAAAAAAGGTAATAAAGTAGACAATTTTTAATTCTGTTTCGCCATTTTGTAGAGTCCAGTAGTGAGGTCACTGGAGAATGCAGACAAATGATAATCAGCTCTACCTAATTATTGCCAGGTGGAAATAAGAAAATAGCGCTACCAGAGCTTTTAATTTTTTTTTATTAAAAAAATAAGTGGCCAGGCACGGTGACTCACGCCTGTAATCCCAGCACTTTGGGAGGCCAAGACGGGTGGTTCACTTGAGGTCAGGAGTTCAAGACCAGCCTGGCCAACATGGTGAAACTCTGTCTCTACTGAAAATACAAAAATTAGCCCGTCATGATGGCCGGTGCCTGTAATCCTAGCTACTCGGAAAGCTGAGGCAGGAGAATCACTTGAACCTGGGAGGCGGAGGCTGCAGTGAGCTGAGATAGCGCCACTGCACTTCAGCCTGGGCAACAGAGCAAGACTCTATCTTAAATAAACAAACAAATAAATAAAGCTAAAATGTGAAATTTTAATGACTGTTTTTTTCTATTTTTGAACACGACCAGCTAATTTTAAAACTTTTTTTTTAATTGCATGGGTCATATAAAACACATCTGCAGAACCTCTAGGTCACCAGTTTGTTAACTTGATTATTTAGAGAGCACCTTGCAGGGACTATGCACAAAATAGGCAATCACTAAGTATTTACAGACGATAGCAAACTTCAACTTCCTTATTGCATCCAAAGGCAAGGGCACTAAATGGTGTAAAAGACTTCAAATGCAGGGAAAGACAAGACAGCGGGATTTGTCCTGCTCCTAGGGCAAATCAGGAAGGAAATAATTTCCAGGGTCTAGGGGAGGAAATAGGGTTCAAGAATGAAGAGAGTACCTCATTCACAACAAAAGGCCAAGTTCTCTTCAGAGGATTTTATTTCAAGATAAATCATAACTTCTACCCATACTATGATTCCAAAGGGTGAAAAAAGTGTCTTGTCTCTTCTACCCTCCAAAGAGGGCATGGCAATGCCAATGTCTCTAAAATGCCTCCGCATAGTTGTCAGAAGCTATATTTCAGTCATTGAAAATACTTGTCCATTTTCAGCTGAGGTGAGGTTTGTTAGGAAACCTCTGTAACAATTTATTCAATTTATTTGGAGGTAAACTCCCAGACTCTCGTATTGATCTCATCTTTCGGGCTTCCTGAAAACACAGAACAAATACAAGAATGACAGCTCTACAGTGTGTCTAGTGCAGACTTTTAAGATCTGACCCAAGAAATCAATCAATAAATCAAGTTTGTCCTGATCTAGGCCCATAGTTCTCACAATGCCCTAAAGCACATGAAGATGTTAACCAGCCTGGAGAGATCTATGTCAGTCGCTCTTCAACAAAAGGGCGTTGGGACCTACAAATGAGACTATGCTCAGAAGCTACTATCTCTGCTAGCAATTAAGCCTAGGCTGGAAACCAAACAATTGTCATTATTTAGTTTTAGTCTCTTTGGTTCTATTTCAGACAATAATGTCTACTTGAGCAGCGCTATACATTTTTCAAAATGGTTTTCCCATTCATTACTTCATCTGACAGTCACAACATTCTTCAAAGTGGTATTAGCCTCATTTTACGTATAGTAATGGTAAAGTTCAGAGCAATGAATAAATCCGTCAAGATCACACAGCCTTCAAAACTGTAACCTTTCCCACTTTGGCGTGAATAATATACCTCCCAAATGAATGAAAGGGCCTTTCCTAGCAAAAGGGAGGGAGAATCATTACTTGTATCTCCCCCATTCTTTTCCTGAGAAAGCACCCCAGGAGCCATCGGTCACCTGAGCCTTCGCGGCACAATCGAGGAAGCCCTGGATCTCTTTTCTGCACGCATCGTCGCGGAATTCATTCTGCTTCCAGCAAGCCATCATCACCGCCATCTCCGAGATGCAAGTCGCCTCTGGAGGGGCAGATCCGGGGGACCTTCAGTCACAAGACGACCCACCTTCCTGCCCTTCTACCCACCCGCCTCTGCTCATGCTCCGGCTTCCGCTCCGGGGCCCTCCTGACACCGACTGCTCACCGCCTTTCTCCCGGCTACGCTCCCCGACGCGGTTAGCTAGAATGAGAGGTTTATTGGGCTTCAGCACAGGCTTCCGAGGGTTCCCAAACCGCGCCAGGCGACCCCGCAGGCTGGGTGTCGCCATCGCACACCCAGCTCCCGGCAGGCTTTGCGGTTCCGTGCGTGACCTCGCGAGATCCCTACGGGCTCGACGAATCAGCGCGGAGCTCTGGGAAGGCTCAATGGCTTGCCGGCGGCCACCTGTTTCTTTTATTTGGCCGGGGCTGCGGCGATGCTGGGTTCGAACAGCGGCGGGTTCGTACTCATCAGCAGATTAGGAGGAGACTCTGGATTCGTACGCCGACTGAGGCTTCTCCTTGATGGGCTCCGGGCCCCGAAGTCTGGGGGCAGTACGAGGCCGGGGACATGCAGGAAAGTTCCCTGGTAAGTGGACACTCTTCTGGTGGTAACCGGCTTGGTCTAGGGGCTGTTGGCATAGGGCGGGGTGGGGGGGGGAGCGAATCAAAATTTGAGACTTTAAGATGTTGGGTTGGGAAAGATTATTGTTTTACTTTAATAAACCTTGCAAGAACTGTTGTTTTTCACTACCTATAGGACCACTACAAAGCCGCAAAGAAAAATTAGACTTGTTTCATTTTATAACAACTGCTGCTGCTGCTACTAGATACCATTTGCTCATTTATAACAATCTCAGTTGATAGGATGAAGCTTAAACACTGGGCATTCATCGTCTTTTTTAATCCTCTCGCCAGTCTTACAGACTTGGACCTTCAATTGTGATGCTTCATCAGACTTTTTTATGAGACAGGGTCTCTCTTGGTTGCCCAGACTGGAGTTCTAGTGGCACACTCGTAGCTCACTGCAGCTTCAAACTTCTGAACTCAAACGATCCTCCTGCCTCTGCCTCCTGGGTAGCTGAAACCACAGGTGCAAGACACCACGCCCAGCTAATTATTTTTTGTAGAGACGGGGTTCTGTCATATTGCCTGGACTGGTCTCGAACTCCTGGGCTCAAGCGATCCTCCTGCCTCGCCCTCCCAAAGTGCTTTACATGACTGAGCCTCCGCGCCCAGCCAGACTTGGTTCTCAAGTTACTTCTGGCTGTTTACAAAAACTCATTCCAAAGATGTGCAGCGTATTCTCATAGCATTTCCAAATAAGCTCCAAGAAATGTTTTTGGTAATGGACGCAGAAACAAGCCTGTAGCTCATGACTGCTTTGGAGGAGCAACATTTATTTGGATTTGTAAATGTAGTGTGTTATAAATGACTTATCACAGATATTTGGAATCTTCCCACTGATTTCTGCATGGGTGGTTGTTTTTCTTCCCTTAAGTCTCAGTTAATGTCAGAGGGCTTCCCTGACCTCTCCCACACCACCACCATCAACCTGTTTTCTTCATAGCACCTATCACAGTCTGAAGTGTCTTCTTATGGCCTGACCTATCCCTAACACCCATTTAAAAATGTAAGCATGAAAGAAGGAAGGAACCTTGTCTATCTTGTTCATTGCTGAATCCCCAGTGCCTAGAATAGTACCAATAAATACTTGTTAAATGAACAAACGTTTTATTTATTTATTTTTGGATTTGGGGTCTTGTTCTGTCACCCAGGTTGGAGTGCAGTGGAATGATTAGCTCACTGCAGCCTTGGCCTCACTCCAGTGATCCTCCTGCTTCAGCTGCTGGAGTAGCTGCAACCACAGGCTCACACCACCAAACCCGGCTGGCTAGGTTTTTTTTTATTTTTTGTAGAGATGGGGTCTCAATATGTTGCCCAGACTACTCTTGAACTCCTGGGCTCAAGTGAGCTTCCTGCCTTGGCCTCCCAAAGTGCTGGGATTACAGGCATGAGCCCACCACACCCAACCTTTTTTACAAATCTCTTTACAACTTTATTACACCCACCCCCAAAAAATAATGAAGCAGAAGACATTATTTAACAAGAAGCAGTTTATTATACAAAATGAAACCTGAGGTAATAGAAAATAACACTTGCAGTAATAAAGGAAGCAGCCTTGCACTCCACCTCCACACTCCAGAGTGTAATTAAAAGACTCCTAGCAGACATTTCTGTCACCAATAATGCCAACCTGCAGTGAGTGAGTCTGCTGCTGTATACAGAGCAGGCTGGGCCCCAAATCAGAAAATTCATATTGCTTGCTTTCTCTATAGGGAAAGTGAAACTTTCAGTAAGTATCATGTGGCTATTCTTGATTCTACTTTCCCTTGTGGAAATGTAACACCTGGTTTACACTGCTCTTTTCTGAGTACTTATATGGTGATAGGAATAAAGGAGAAAGTCTGGAAAGCACCGAGCACAAAGCAGGCCTGAGGCTCCAGCAACAGTCATTCAGAAACAACTGCCCACTTTATACGTAAAAGTACCAAAGGAATGCCAATGTGAGCTCGTGTCATTAGGAGGAGAGGTAAGGATAATTCTACACCTTGCTTAACTATCACTTAACCTTTTTATTGCACATAATGAAATTTAACTCCTGACCTAGGTCTGTACTTATATGTATTATGCACTCTAAATTAGCATCTGCATTTAGATAGATTGCAAGCTTAGAAATCAGTCCTGCATTTGACCTCTTTTGTCAGTGCCTACTATATCAAATTTTAACAGAATTTTTTTTTTTGAGATAGAGTTTTACTCTTGTTGCCCAGGCTAGAGTGCAGTGGCATGATGTCGGTTCACCACTACCTCTGCCTCCTGGGTTCCAGCGATTCTTCTGCCTCAGCCTCCTGAGTAGCTGGGATTACAGTCATGTGCCACCACGCCCAACTAATTTTGTATTTTTACTAGAGATGAGGTTTCTCCATGTTGGTCAGGCTGGTCTCGAACTCCTGACCTCAGGTGATCTGCCCGCCTTGGCCTCCCAGAGTGCTGGAATTACAGGCGTGAGCCACCGCACCCAGCCCAACAGATTTTTTTTTTTTTTTTTTTTTTTAAAGACGGGTCTATGTTGCCCAGTTGGTACTCATAGGTGCACTCACAACGTACTATAGCCTCAAACTCTTGGGCTCAAGCGATCTTCCTGCCTCAGCCTTCTGAGTAGCTGGGACTACAGACCCATGCCATCACATGTGGCTTAGATATATTTTTGAAGTTTTTTTTTTTTTTTCCAGTTTCTGTTTTTGAGACAGGGTGTCACTCTGTCACCCAGGCTGGAGTGCAGTGGCGATCCTCCCACTTCAGCCTCCCAAGTAGCTGAATCTACAGGCACACACACCATGCCCAGCTAATTTTTTCTATTTTTTGTAGAGATGGGGTTTTGCCATGTTACCCAAGCTGGTCTTGAATCTCTGGACTCAAGCGATCCTCCCACCTTGGCCTCCCAAAGTGCTGGGATCACAGGTATGAGTCACTGCACCCAGCCTGGAGGTCTTCCCTCTTGTTCTTTTCTGCAAAAGGTCAAACAGGGTAAGCAAACTTTCTGTAATTTATGAAGATCATCTTTTATTAAAGGATTAAATGAAAAAAGAACAACTTTGGCAATGAAATTCAGCCTGATTATAGCTTTTCTTGGCCACATCCTTAGATTTCAGTATATTAAGTGTAGACCCTAGTTGTTGAAGCATCTAACATATATCTATCTATATCGATATGTAGATCGAGGTATAGATAATATACTGATAAACTGAAACTTCTCTAGTGATAACTCATTAATACATTACAACTAGAGTAGCTCTAAGGTCCAAGGTATTCTTTCCTGTTCCACTGCCCCAGAAAGAGCTAATGGTTTCCCTGCTCATTAGACTGTATGTTCAAACCACAGCAATAGAAGGGTTTGGCTGCATCCCCAAATCTGACTAAGCATTTTTTTTGAGACAGATTCTCGCTCCGTTGCCCAGGCTGGAGTGCAGTGGTGTGATCTCGGCTCACTGCAACCTCCGCCTCCCAGGTTCAAGCAATTCTCCTGCCTCAGCCTCCCAAGTAGCTGGGATTACAGGTGTGAGCCACCTGTTGGTACTGGGTGCGCCCAGCTCTAAGCTTTTATTTAGCCAGCCACTTGTGGCTTAAATCTCTTGCCTTGCCTCCTCATCCCTTTGAGTGGGCTCCATCAAAAAGTAGTCTCAGGCTGGGCACGGTGGCTCACTCCTATAATCCCAGCACTTTGGGAGGCCGAGACAAATGGATCATTTGAGGTCAGGAGTCCGAGACCAGCCTGGCCAACATGGCGAAACCCCATTTCTACTAAAATACAAAAAGGTTAGCCAGGCATGGTGGTGCGCGCCCGTGATCCCACCACTCTGGAGGCTGAAGCACGAGAATTGCTTGAACATGGGAGGCAGAGGCTGCAGTGAGCCAAAATTGTGCCACTGCACTCTAGCCTTGGTGATGCAATGAGACTCTACCTAAAAAAAAAAAAGGGGGGGCCTGGGCACGGTGGCTCACGCCTGTAATCCCAGCACTTTGGGAGGCCAAGCCAAGTGAATCACCTGAGCTCAGGAGTTCGAGACCAGACTGGCTAACATGGTGAAACCCCATCTCTACTAAAAATACAAAAATTAGCTAGACATGGTGGCAGGCACCTGTAATCGCCACTACTCAGGAGGCTGAGGCAGAAGAATCACTTGAACTGGGGAGGTGGAGATTCTAATGAGCGGAGATCGCGCCATTGCACTCCAGCCTGGGCGACAAGAGCGAAACTCCATCTCAAAAAAAAAAAAAAGGTCATATGGAAGCCTATCAGTAATACAGTGAATGAAGCTGGACTATTCATTGCACTTAAAAGTGAAAAGTGCTACAGATTATAAAATAATTACTAAAACATACTGCTACACTGTTTCCATAACTGCAGAAGATGGGACTTTGTAGCATATAAAAACAATAAAATAGAGGGAACAGTTCATTAGGCAAACAAAAGAATTAGGAACTATAAAAATTTGCACTTTTTTCCCTGGGCTTTTTTTTTTTTTTTGTCACCATACCGAAAAATTTGCACTTTGACTCATATTGGCCTATTTTAACATTTCAAAATCATTTAAAGAAAAACATGACTTTTTCTGTCATAATTCCCAGTCTTAGTCTCCATCTTTGATCAAAAAGAGGACAGGGCAATATATTAAATTGACAAGGCATATAACAGCCACTGAATCTTTCTGTTCATGAGAAGGAATCCCAGATATACCATAAATAAGATGCAAACCAGCAGTAAGAATGATGGCAAGGTTTCTGTATTTCCATCAGAAATTGTGGGAAAGGGCCTAAAACCAGGAAAGACAAGGCCATTAAAAATATATATTTGAGGCCGGGTGTAGTGGCTTACGCCTGTAATCCCAGCACTTTGGGAGGCCAAGGCAGGCGGATTACAAGGTCAAAAGATCAAGACTATCCTTGCCAACATGGCGAAACCCCGTCTCTACTAAAAATACAAAAAATTAGCTGGGCGTGGTGGTGCATGCCTGTAGTCCCAGCTACTTAGGAAGCTGAGGCAGGAGAATCACTTGAAACAGGGAGATGGAGGTTGCAGTGAGCCAAGAACATGCCATTGCACTCCAGCCTGGTGACAGAGCAAGACTCTGTCTTAAAAAATATATATATATAATATATATATAAAATTTGAGACGGTGTCTCGCTCTGTCACCCAGGCTGGAGTGCAGTGATCATGATCATAGCTCACTGCAGCCTTAAATTCCTGGACTCAAGTGATCCTCCTGCCTCAACCTCCCAAGTATCTAGGGCTACAGGTGTGCACCACCATGCCCTGCTAATTCTTTTATATTTTTTAGAGACAGGGTCTTGCTAGGATGGTCTTAAACTCCTGGCTTCAAGCAGTCGCCCCTCCTCAGCTTCCCAAAGTGTTGGGATTACAGGCATAAGCCACTACACCTGGACAGAAAAAGCCAAAACAAAACAAAACAAAACAAACAAACAAAAAAAAACTAGGGCTGGGTAAGGTGGCTGATGCCTGTAAACCCAGCACTCTGGGAGGCCAAGGCGGATGGATTGCTTGATCCAGGAGCTGGAGACCAACCTGGGCAACATGGCAAAACTTCATCTCTATAAAAAATACAAAAAAAGTAAAATAGAAGTTTGACATGAAAGCAAAGTACATAATATAAAAAATGCAAAAAACCAGAATACAACTCACCAGAAGTTTTGCTTCTCCACCAACATAACAATTTATAAAGCAAGAGATGAGAAAGAGAGATTATTGGGAAACGTACTGAATAATGAGGAGTTTGGGGAATAGAACAAAAGTTGTAAGTCGTAACCTGACCCATCTTACTTCATTGGTAGTCAAGTACAGCTCAAAGGATGAAATAGAGAAGTGAGTAATTTTAAAACTGTTCGACCAGCACCTTGAATCAAATGGATGTTTTAGGGTTCTGTTTCTCACTGAACCAAGAATTGTATGCCTCCATCTCTCCTTGAGGAGAGGCCCTATGTTAGACCTTGGCTACTCATCATTAAGATAAAATCTTAATAGATAAAACTGGAATGCCTTGAATCCATGAAAAGACAGTGTTCAGTAAGGGTTTGTGCAGTGGATGCTCCTTATGTCCCATGGTAGAATAAAATCTCCTTAGCTCTGCCAAGTTAAAGGTTCTTGCAAGGGCACTTAGAGATGTTGCCTTTTCATGAAGATTTCATGTAGGTAATCCCAAAATTTCCTCTGCTCTGTTTCATTGTTGTGGATCATGGCAGTGAGAGCTTCCCCCTGGTCCAGACCTTGCCAATAATCTTGCAGCCACATCTCTTTCCAACTGAAATACCAAAATGGGGGTTGGATTATGGAACTGCAGCATAGTTATGAGTCCTGCCTTTTTCTGAGTGGGGCCAAAGAAATCTTAAGCAGATACAGTGGTCTCTAACTTGGACAGGACTGCTGCGAAGGGAAGACAACATGAAGTAAATCCAATATTAGCCCAAGTGACAGGCTAAAAGCCACAAATACAAAGACATCACACAGCCTACCCAATCAATTACAATTCCTGACTTGCCTGCTTCTGGCTCCCAAATGTGGAGGGGATTCAGAGGCAGGCAAAGCAGAGGTCAGACTGGAAGTGGTAGTCTCCATAAGGAAAGCAAGGGGGCAGGGGTCTTTAGATGATTGTCTTTTAAGTTTCACCTTTATCCCAATAATCAAAATGAAGGTGCATCAAAATGAAGTAGCATCCAGCATCTAGAAAAGACGTAACCTGAATATTTATTTAATGTTTCACTTTTTTTTGTACTTTTCCTCTAGTAAATCATATTATGTTCAGATACAAACAATTTGTAATTAGATACAAATTACTTGGTGAAGCATTCCAACCATCGGGACAAAACTGCCAGCAGCATCTATTAATAAATGGCCTTCTGCTGCCATCCACTGTCCAAGTCGGTCTCTGTAGGCCATTCTAGCAGTCTTACTTTTTTTTTTTTTTTTTTTTTTTTGAGACGGTGTCTCGCTCTGTCGCCCAGGCTGGAGTGCAGTGGCCGGATCTCAGCTCACTGCAAGCTCCGCCTTCCGGGTTCCGGCCATTCTCCTGCCTCAGCCTCCCGAGTAGCTGGGACTACAGGCGCCCGCCACCTCGCCCGGCTAGATTTTTGTATTTTTTAGTAGAGACGGGGTTTCACCGTGTTAGCCAGGATGGTCTTGATCTCCTGACCTCGTGATCCGCCCGTCTCGGCCTCCCAAAGTGCTGGGATTACAGGCTTGAGCCACCGTGCCCGGCCTAGCAGTCTTACTTAAGCTTAATAATCTTATCACCTCTCCCCCAACAAGTGTGGCTTGCTACAAGTGCTTTCAACATTTCCCCCCCACACACCTCATGCTGGCCTTGTTTCCCAATACCACCACCTTTTGCCACCTACTGCAGTAGCCTATTCGCTTCCCTTCTGATGCACATTGCGCATTGTTGTGTGTGTATGTGTGTGTGACACAGTCTTACTCCAACCCAGGCTGGAATGCAGAGGCACGATCCTAGCTCACTACAGCATTGAACTCCTGGGTTCAAGCAATCCACCTGCCACAGCCTCCCAAGTAGCCAGGACTACAGGCATGCATCACCACCCCAGGCTTTTAGCTTTTAAATTGTACAGAGAGGGTTTTGTTACATTGTCCAGGCTAGTCTGGAACCCCTGGCCTCAAGTGTTTCTCCCACCTTGGCCTCCCAAAGTGCTGGGATTATAGGCGTGAGCCACCGTGCCCGGCCATGCCTAGTTTTTCTAGTTACACAGGCAGTGTGTCCCCACATGCACCAAGTACATGGGGCTCATCCTCAGCACAGCTGCTTAAAAAAATTATGGCTGGTTAACAGGTGGAAGCCCTGACTACTGCAGAAAAGCCTCCCTCAAAATGCTCTCCTCTACTCCCCACCCCCATGTCCACTCTATAAAAGGTGCTCAAATAGTTGAGTTTTTAGTGCAGTCCAAACTCCTGAGCCTGGTATTAATGATATTTACAGCCTTGCCCCTATTTATTTGCCCCATTTTCTCTCTCCCCTGTCTGCACAGGCCCTGGGTTCTGGTTCAATCTTTTTGAACCACTACTGGAAACATTGTCCACATAAGCTGATTTTCATATGTTGCCTTGAATTATATTTTACATCTATTCAGCTTTTTCAGCTTGTCTTATCCTAACCCCAACTAGACTGTTGACACCTTAAAGACAGAGTGAGCACATATCATAATTTCCTCCTGCACCTGCTCAGCACCTAGTGCTACTTAATTGTCCACAGTAAGCAAGTAAGTAAAGGATTTGATGGCTGCAGGGGACCCCAGCATTCTTACCTGTCATTCTCAGGAATCTCTTCCACATTGCCAAAGCCAGGTGTGGGCATTGGGCAGTCCATGTGTGAGGGCTGCGCAATGTGAGGTTCAAGGACGGGGCTGTCCCCAGGAGAGGCCGCCTGGGCTTTCTCGGCATCCAGCCGAGCCAGTTCGTGGTCACAGACGAAACACTCGAAGCCGTTGAGGTAGTTAGGCAGCAAAGGATCATTCACTCCCCACTCCCGATGCTTCAGACTATCCAGAAGAAATTGGTTGGTGATGCCCCCAGGTTGCTTGTATGCCAGGTATTTCATATATTCCTCATCATTCTTGTCCAGAAAGTCAATAAACTCTGCCAGCTTCTGAGGAGACTCAAAATCATCAATCAGGATGACAGAGTAATTGTTCGGCATCCAGTCCTTCACAGAGGGAGAGCCGCGGTACACGGGCACAGCGCCCAGATGCATGGGACGCCACAGTTTTTCTGTCATGTAGTCGTTACAGATGGCATTTTCCAGGGCCAAGTGGAACTTATAGCGGGACAAGAAAGCCAAGAGCTCTGGATCCTCGGTGGTGGCCGTAGCTGTGTCCTGTAGCCGCGCAGTGGGCAGCTCCCGATTCTGCAGGCATTTCCCGTAGGAGTCTACCTAGACCGGGTAGAATAGGGACGTCATGAGGGTGCGGCCCGGAGGCCTGGACACCTAGAGTCCTGGCCTCAGCCCGCTCCCTCTTTTCCCTCCCCTCCCGCTCGCCCTCACTCACCGGGATGTGGCGCATGAGCTCGCGCACGTAGCGGTCCCGGTCCGCAGGCACATCGCAGTGGGACTGCAGATAGAGCAGCGGCGCGTAGCCGCGGCGGCGCCACTCCGCGCGTTCCCGGAGCGGAGGCACCGGGCGGCGCAGATAGGCAGTCCCAGGCAGCCACTGCAGCGACAGCGGGTAATCCGAGTGGCGACTGAATGTGGAGGTAAGATTGAAGAGGCGGATGCCCGGGCCGTGGCTCAGCAAGAAGTTGTTGAGGGGCGACTCCTCGTGGAGGAGCGCCCAGCTCTGGTGCGCCAGGCGCGGCAGCGGCGCGGCCGAAGCGCGGAAGTCGGTGCCATAGAAGAGCAGCGCGCGCGTCCGCGAGTCCCTCAGCGCTCGGCGGTTCCGGGACGCCACGCACGCGCCGCGCGCACACTCGATGCGCTCCGAGTCTCCCGGGAAGTGGGGGAATAGCCCTGGGCTCCACCACAGCAGCACCGGCAAATCCCCGGCCTCCTCCCTCCCTGGTCTCGGCGTTCCGGAGCTGCGCGTCACCCGCACTGCGCCCAGCGCCGAGGGCGGCCGGAAAACCGCGCCATCCCACGGTTCCACCCACTCCGCCTCCCCGCCGGCCTCCCTCTCCGCCACGGACCCATAGGCGCTGGCTGCACAGACACTGAGCACCCCCAGGAGGGCCAGCACCGCCCCAGTGGGGCCGGCCGCCATGTCCACTCTGGCAGCCGGCGCCCTCGGCCGGCACGCACCCCGCCCAGTGGCTAGTCGTGACTGGACGAGGCTCTATGCCACGGGGGTACGCGGCGCATGCGCAGCTCCGCTCAGCCGACGGCCAGGGCTAAAAGCAAAGTGAGCTTTCGGGAGTAAACATGAGGCTAATGGTTACATCTTAATTTATTTTATTTCTTTACAAATTAAAGATGCATTGAAAAATAAACCAATGAAGAGAAATGAGAGGTCCAGAGCAGGGGCATCCCAGGCGGGGAGCAGGCAAGCCTGGCCACCGTCAAGCCTAGCCCTTGTCCCGCCCCCAAGCCAGTTGGGATTGGAAGATAACTGTCAGTCAATACCAAAGCCCAAGCGGTGTCCCGGCAGGAGAGAACGGCGCTCCAGCTGCCTCTGCCTCTCTCCCCAACAACCCCGGGCCTGGAGAAGCAGTGTTTCTCGTGGGAGCTCAGAGTGGGATGTGAACTGGCTCTGTGAGGTATTGCAAGTTGATGACCAGGCTCCCTAGGCTCCCTATAGAACCATCCAGTGTTGGGGCCTCTCCAGCTGGAAAGGAGACTGGTACCTCTCCCAGATCTTAATATACTTTGCAACTGAATTCCCAGGTCATCTCTGACAGTGTCTCTCTATCCACGGAGTGATCATCAATCATTGCAGGAGAGAGCGAGTGAGCAGTGAAAGCAGAGAAACTTGACTTCTAACCTCCAGGCCCAAGAAGGACTGACCACTTTTCTCTCCACCACCTATGGGCTATACCCCAGCTCTTGTGCACCTGTATGTTTTATCCCTAATATAGGAAGTTGTGGATGACACTGAGCTGAATTAGCCACCCCCTGTAGTAACCTTAGGATCCCCACTCTTTCCTGCCTGCCCCTCTCCTCTGGGGAGACTGGCCCAAAGGGACACATAATATTGCCAGGGTCTGGGTGCCTCCAAACCCCCAATACCGAATCATATACAGTGAACTGAGAAACTACATTCATTATGACAGGATTAGCAGGAAAAAGAGGGTAGAGTGAGGGAACAGGGGCACCTTCGATCAGCAGGACATGACAGAGTGGCAGGATACTTGAGCCCAGAAAGAAGGTGTCTCCTTATATCTCCCCCTCCCCCCCAAAGAGACTGAGGTCAGCTTACATGACATAAGATATGGTACTGTCCCAATTTCTCTGACATCCTGGGGTGCTTTCTGGAAGCTGGCCTGGGCCCTGTGCCATTTACCCACTTGCTTTAGCTCAGTAGCTGCCGAATCTCCTTGTGCATATGACAGAGAAAGTCCACATAAGATGCTCCCCCACTCAGACTCTTATCTTCCACCAGGAAGTGCTTGAACAGCATCTCCAGCTTGTCCTCCTGTTTCACCACGATAAGCTATAGCCAGAATTCAGGGTTCATGAGGCAATGCCAAAGGAAATTAAACATGCCCAGAAATCCTATTTGGCAGTCACTTACTCATTCCCCACCCAACCCCCACTTCTAGGTGAGGACTTGACACGGTAAGAAATCCAGGGTTCAGATCAGTGTTACCTTCATGTACCGGGATCTCTGTGCCCTTAAGCTATCAATGAGGCCTCGAACCTTCTTGGACAGTGGATTATCCAGAACTGGCAGAACACTCTAGAACACAAAATTCATTTATCCTTATGGTAAGGCACTCTGAGTTCAGTCAAGGTGGGGCAGCACACATCTATGCATCATCTGAAACAAGGAAGCCTGGGAAGAATGACAGCAACTGCCCTTGTCCCCAAGTGTTCCCTGATATTTGAGGGGACCAGCACACTAACTTTATTGGCTCCCAATCGTTTCACAAAGTATACTTCCACACCCATATTCTCCTTGACTCCTTGCCCTCACCAAGCCACTGGTGATCTGACTGAAGGAAGAGACGCTGAAAAGGCTCTGGACAACACCCTGTTGGACGCTTGCTCCCACCCAGAGGAAGAGGTTGAGACCATTCTCCAGTAAATACATATCCCCATTGCTTAGACGCTCTTCAGAGGCTCGAACTGCTGGTGGTTCGGTGGTACTCTCGATGGGAGACTTTGTCTAAACAAAAGGAAGGGAGCAAAAGGTTACCAAGGACCATAAGACAAGTCTGCCCCCCACCACACACAAAATTCTGAAAGCTAAGTCCTCAGACACCACCCCTTCTGGGGTCTCAGTAACTCAGTGTGAAAATTGCATCAGCTAAAATACATAAAAACAAATTCCACTAGTGTCAGACTGATATTAGCCTATCCTTTCCTCCTCCTAAGAGGCCCTTTGCTCCATGCAAGATCTCAAACTCCAACCCTCAATCACACCAAAGGTAAGAGCCGAGGGTAGAAGAAGACATTGGTCTCAGCCACATCCATGGAGGTAACTAGCTGTCGGACATAGGCACGGTCATCAGTAGTGATTTCAGCTCCAGGCTGCAGGACATCACTCTTCAACACACAGTTCAGGTAAACTGGGAGTAGCTTCATGCACTCAGGAAGGATCAACTGAGGGGATTATCAAAATTAAGTCGATGATCATGAGAAATCCCTCCCAAATGCAAACATTTGTCCCAACAACCCCACCTGCCACTAATATACTTGCCCCACCTGTCCTGCAGAGGAGGGGCTAGCACAGTTCTTTCTGTAACAGGCCAGGATCTGGGCACACTGGGTGATGAGAGTGTCACGAACAGCCTTCACAGGGCTATTCAGGACTCCCCGATATGCTGGATGGGAAAGCAAAGACAGTCACTGGTCAGCTGCCCATCATGTATGCATTCCCACCATCATAACTACCCGCTCACCATCCTGGACCTCTCAGCCGCAATCCCACCCTGCCCTGCCTCTACCCTCACCAAACTTGGCCATGTAGTTGATGAGCGTGTCAGTCTCACAGTTTCGATACAGATCAGCCAGCTGGGTGCAGCAGTTCAGGGCCAGGTTATGGATGCGGAGCCGACGCTGCCCTGCACAGCTGGTGTAAAGCAGGGCACACTAGGGGAAGGGAGAAAGGGGGAACTCACACCCCTCCCTCACAAAGGCCCTTTGCTACATTATTAAACTAGAAGAGAGAAATGAGCCACTCCCCTGCCCAGTCTTTTCTTCCAGTGCTCTCTACCCACTCCTCACCCTCTTCTATACCAAGCGAATGACACATTTCCTGCCCAGCCCCGCCTCCCGCCTGCCACCTGCAGGAGGGCTCCGCTCTCTTCATTGAGCCGATCATCATGCTTGAACTCCACAGTCACCGTTTTGTCCCCATCTAGCCCAGCCAGCTCCACGTCTGTTGTGTTGCTCATGTAGAAAGCTCCAAAGAAATCTACAGCACGGATACCTGAGGCCACATGGACAGAGTTAGGGCAAAAGGTATGACAAGTGCCACATGCCTCCCTTCCAGACTTAGGCCCCCCACCTGCTCTTCTCCAACAGGACTGACCAGTGCTTGTCCGGACCCGCATCACAGCATCAAAGCCAACAACCTTCTGGACATCACGACGCAGGTCACTCAGGAACCGCTCCTGGTCGTTCTCCACCTGCAGGGCCCCAGACCCAGAGTCATATCACTGACTAGACATAGCTCATCCTACAGACAATCTCCCTGTACCCCTTCCACTCTACAAGGCTGCCTAATTATCATCATTACAGTGACGATGATAATGATGACAACAATAGCTTTTAAACACTTAGACTGCACACCAGGTACCACACAGAGTGCTTTACATATAATTATTTAATTTTGTAGACAAATCCTACTTAAGTATTTTAACCCCATTTTGCAGATGAAGGAACAAAAGAGGGAGTACTTAAGTAATTTATCCTAGGTCATGTAGCTAGTAAGTGGTGGGGCCAGAATATCAATGCAGGACTGATTCCAAGGCCCATGTTCCTAACTGCCACACTCTCGGGCTCACTTCTTTAGACTATGCAGTCTTCTCTTCCAACACTATTTCTCTTTTTTTGGAGACGGAGTCTTACTCTGTCGCCCTGCCTAGAGTGCAGTGGCGCAATCTTCACTCACTGCAACCTCCGCCTCCCAGGTTCAAGGGATTCTTAGCCTCCCGAGTAGCTGGGATTATAGGCACCCGCCACCACACCCGAGTAATTTTTGTATTTTTAGTAGAGATGGGGTTTTGCCATGTTGGCCAGGATGGTCTTGAACTCCTGACCTCAGGTGATCCGCCTGCCTCACCCTCCCAAAGTGCTGGGATTACAGGCATGAGGCACCATGCCCAGCCCCAACGCTATTTCTATTAATGAGTCAGCCACTCCATATATAAGCAGATATTCCCAGCCCTGCTGCCATCTGCCACTGCAAATACCATTACCATACCTGAAAGCAAGCATATTTGTAGACAGAGCCACCAGTGAGCTGGGGCACAACAGAGAGTGTGGCCACATCCACATACTGGTTAGGGAAGAGAAAGAGATCTACACAGCAGCCTTGGGCCACACACTCTTTGGCCAGGGTCTGATAGGCACCTGTCTGAGGCTGGAACAGAGTCTAGGGGGAAAGAAAATGGGGAGAAGAAAATGTTCAAATATCCCAGCTCCGCCCTATTTGAGAACTGAATAGCTAGCATGGGATATTCAAACTCATGGGAGACTTCAGATCTACTTCCAAGGATTTTGCAATAGTAAAAAATTCTCCTTTATATTATTTTTATTTTTTTGAGACAGGGTCTCACTCTGTCGCCCAGGCTGGCATAGAGTGGCGTGATCTCAGCTCACTGCAACTTCTGCCTCCCAGGTTCAAGCGATTCTCCTGCCTCAGCCTCCCAAGTAGTTGGGATTACAGGTGTGTGCCATCACGCCCGGCTAATTTTTGTATTTTTAGTAGAGACGGGGTTTTGCCATGTTGGTCAGGCTGGTCTCGAACTTCTGGCCTCAAAAATCCGCCCACCTTGGCCTCCCAAAGCACTCGGATTATAGGCATGAGCCACTGTGCCTGGCCAAAAGTTCTCCTTTAAAAAATAAACAGAAGTCTACCAACAGCTTTGCCATCAGATGGAGTAGAGAAGTATGGCAGCAGTGGAGGTTGGCAGTCACAGATACGGTATTTGAAAGGATGGAGTGTCTGGTCCTAGCCCCCATCAAGAAAAGAGAGTCCCCACTTCCTCTGTAATGAAAAATCCTTCCCCTCCCCCATTTTCCAGTCCCACACCTTCTCCTTGTCTG